GATTTTGTGTTAAAAAGAATTCAGTTCTTTGACTTACTGTACACAAGATGGTAAAGGGTTGAAGAGATAGTATAGAGGTTAAGGCACTTGTTTTGCGCGTGGTTGCCCACAGTTTGATCCTGGCATAACATATAGTCCTTTGAGTATACCACCAGGGGTGATCCCCAAGCACAGAAGTAGAAGTAAGTCCCGAGCACTAACAGATGTTTTTTCCCCACCAAAAAAAAAAAAAAGACTGCTAAAAGTGTTGAATAATAAAATGACAATAAAATTAAAATAATTAAAAAGCAAAATTTAGAAATGATTGGTATCACACTATTAATATATTCACTCACATGCTCTCATTTCTAATTACTGCTTAATTACTTTTTGTAACTTCTAAATCATTGACTCTTTATGAGATAACTGGGTTTTTGTCTTGTTTTGTTTTGCTTTTGGGTCTAACTCAGTGATGCTCAGGGGTTTTTCCAGGTCCTGCACTCAGGAACTACTCCTGGCATGGTTCAGGGGACCATATGGGATGCCTGGGATTGAACCCCAGTCAGCAGCATGCAAGGCAAGTGCCCTACCTGCTGTACTGTTGCTCCAGCCCTGGTTTGTTTTGTTTTTGAGGGTGTTGGGCCATGAACAGTGGTGCTGAGGGGCTGTTTCTGGTTCTATTCTCAGGAGTAACCCCTGGTGATGTTCAGATCTATGGTACCTGGAATCGAATTAGGGTCGGCAGCACGCAAAGCAAGCACATTAACCTCTGTACTATCACAGAGGCTCAAGGATACATACTATCTTGCACCAAACACAACTCTAACATATTTCAGACCGTAGAGTAAATTCATATAACCACTTTGAAAATCTTTGACCATATCAGCTAAATCTCATTTTATTTGTAGCCTATAATTCAGACATTCCACTCCTAAACAAAATAATACTTGCTTATGGCTAAAATTTGGAATTGAAAAAGAAAACAGAATAATTGAATAAGGTGCCTTCATAGTATAGAGAAAACCACCATTCCCATTGAAATATTAGACATTCCCTTCTCTTTGTCATTGCGAATGTGTTCTTGGTTTTGATGCTCACACACACTTGGTTGTGGTGTGCTGGAGGCTGCACTTGTACGGTGCTGGGTTCACTAGCAGATCTGGGGATCACACAACATTCTGTGGGGGCAGTGCCAAAGTTTGAACTCATAGTCTCATGCATGTAAGGAAGCGCAATTGGCCTTATTTACTACTATGCCAATAGTGTGGACTGTAAAGTTACGCTATTGATAAAAGTAAAAATCAGTGACTGGAGATATATAAGGGCCCTGCACCTGGCCCACCCTGATAAAGTCCTTCAAGTACAGATCTGGAAGCAGCACTGAAGCGTGTGACCCAACCCCCCCTGCCCTTCTCCAACAACAAGTAAAAAATCAATTAATTAAAACAGAAAAAGAAAAGTGAGGGAAATTAAAGAATATTGACACTTTAATGTCCTCATTTTTCTGTTTTCCCTTCAGCCTTCTTGATTTTACTCCAACCTGCTGCATTAGAAGTTTTCATTGCCTTTGTTGAGGGATTCCATTCTTCTAGCACTCAGGTCAGAAACCTCAGGGTCATTCCTCTTTCCCTTGTCCTCTAACCTTCCCTCTGTCAGCTCATCAGCAAGCCACCGACTTTTTTTTTTTCTTTTGCTTGGAGCTTACTCCTGACTCTACACTCCTACACTCAGGGATCACTCCTGGGAGGGCTATGGGGACCATATGTGGTGCTGGAGATCAAATTTGGGTTAGCTGAGCACAAGGCAAGCACCCGACTGGCTGTCTTATCTCAGCCCCAAGTCACAGAGGTTTTGCTCTGATGACTTTAATAGCCTCCTAACTATTCAGCCCTAATGCTACCTACCCCCACCCAGGCAGTTAAGGGGACCCCCATTACAGAGTGTCACATGTCACTTTTATACAAAACTCCATTGCTGGTAGCTCAGAGAAAATGTCTCATGCGATCCCTGTCCTCCCCACATTGTCCTTCCCATTTCATTGTCTCTATCCTGACACACTGAAGGCATCACCAGCAACCCCCACTCTCAGGCACCTTTGTGCCACAGGGTCTTGGACCCTGCTGGTAAGTTGTTCACCAGAGACTTTGCACTCTAATTCTCCTCAGGCTTTTGCTCAACTTTCACCTTCACCAGTAGTAGATCTTCTTGATGACCTTATTAAAAGGTTAGCCCTCAGGCAGGGAGAGAGAGAGAGAGAGAGAGAGAGAGAGAGAGAGAGAGAGAGAGAGAGAGAGTGTGTTCAGTGGGCTAGAACAAAGTATAGGTTTAGTCCCAGAGGAATGACTGCTGAGTAGCTGAGTAGCTGGGAGTAGGCCCTGAGCATGCCCGGTGTGCCCCTAAAACTGATCCCAAAGAACTACTGTTCCTATCCCCCACCTCCCAAATTCTTTCAAAAAACCTTGTTTGGAGGCCACACCCAGCGGTGCTCAGGGCTTAGGCCTGACTCTGCATTTAGGGATCATTCCCGGTGAGCTTGGGGGACCTTATGGGTTGTGGGGATCAAACCCAGGGATCAACAGTACAGCAGGTAGCAAATGCCTTACCTGCTGTACTATTATTGCTCTGACCCAACCTTCGATAATCCTTTTGACCCCTCCCTACTTAATTATTCCCTACAGCAATTCTAAACATCTGGCAGTCCACATATTTTTCTTCCTTGTTTATTATCTGTCTCTCCTACGTGGAGCCAAATTTTTGTTTTTGTTTTCTATGGTGTCCCCAAGCTGTGGAAGAAGATCTGGCCTGTGAAAACCACTCAGTTAAATGTCAGGTGGATAGGTGAATGATCCCGCCCATTCCTGAGGTTAGAGTGGGCCCCCTGCCTTCCCTGTGCAGCACTTCCTGACTTGTATGCTCATCTCTATCTCCTCCTGGTCCTTTCCTGACTTTTCTTAAGTGCCACTGGCCTGCATTTGTTACAGGTAAAAAATAGAGTGCCTGGAGAGGTAATCCTGGCCAAGGAGACCTTTAGATGAGGTAATCCTGGCCAAGGCAGCTTTAGACAAGGAAGTGTAACGCGTGTGTTCTCTTGCTTACTTAGATGAAGAAGGAACCTGGAACTTGGTGCACGTGGTCTTGATGCTCCCTGGATGCTACTTATTGAGAATGACAGGAGGAAGATACTTCACGGAAAGCATGGGGTGGAACCTCCCCATCTGCTTTTGCAACTGCGGGTGTGGCCCAACCTGCTCAGATTGAGGCTTGCCTCAAATTTCAGCCACACCAACCACAGGGCTCTGAAAAAGCAGAGGGAGCTTCTCACCAAGAATTTGATTCTTCTTCCTGGATCTAAAACAGCACTGGGGAGACAGATCAAGGGACTAGAACTCATGCTTTCCATGCAGGAGTTCCAGTTCCATTCCTGCATGTGGTTCCCAAGCACTTCTAGGAGTGACCTGTGTGCTCTGAGCTGGTGGTGGCCCCAAAGTTCGCCTGATATGGCATCCTCCCCTCTTCCCACCCCCCCAAGGTTCCAAAAGTACACATTTGACTTGGCTGCCCAAACATGGGGGGCGGAGGTGAGTGGGAGCCTGGGGAATAGGGAGGGGAGGTGGCACTGCCTGCCTGGCAGAGAGCACAGCTCCCAGTATCCTGAATGTCTGCTGTGACCCAGGCCGTTTGGGATCCGAGATGTGGGCCCTGGGAAAGATATGCCAAAGTCTTACCCATTGAGTCATCCTCAAGCCCCGGGTGGTGGGAAAAGGATTCTCAACCTGCCTTCCAGTCCTCAAGAGGTGCCCTGAGCTGGGGATGTGTCCTTTTTATTTTTTCCTTTATTTATTTGGGCCGGAGCGATAGCATAGTAGTGCCTTACACATGGCCCACCCAGGTTCGATTTCTCTGCCCCTGTCGGAGAGCCTGGCAAGCTACTGAGAGCATTCCGCAGGCAGGGCAAAGCCTGGCAAGTTACCCTTGATATGCCAAAAACAGTTACAACGAATCTCACAACGGAGACATTACTGGTGCCCGCTCGAGCAAATCCACGAACAACGGGAGGACAATGACAGTGACAGTGATTTATTTATTTTTGTTGCTGCACAGCCGCTTAAATTAATCTTTGGGTGGAAAAATTACCAAGAAACACGTGAACTCAACAAACATCGACTAACACTGAGTCACCTAAAAAAAAAAAAGCAACAAAACTCTCTTCCTTTTCTCCCCTAATCCTGGCACATTAATAACTCCTCTCCAGCCAAATGTCCCCTTACCTACTTCAGGGAATTTATCAGAATAAAAGTTTCCATCACTTGACTCATCTTTCTTAGGACTTCATTAGCATCATAACACGCAGATCTCAGGACACACACACACACACACACACACACACACACGCGCGCGCGTGCACGCAAAGACGCCAGAATAAGAAACTGTAGTGGGGAGAGGGCATTAGGGAGTGAGAAATGGAAAACCTCCTTGAGTCTCCTCCTAACTTCGCGCAGCCCAGAAACGATTCTTTTGGCCAGACCCAAAACTGATTTGTTTTTCTTGTTTGGCATGTGTGTGCGTGCGCATAGGTGAAGAGGGCGAAAAGGTAGTCCGCAAGGACGGGGCGTCCTCCCGGCAGCGCGGGTGTAAGTTTCGGTGGAAACTTTCTCCCACAGGCTCCTCCTCCTTCTCCCGGGCAACCAGAGCCCCGGCGTCTGTCCGCGCCAAGGAGAGCCGGAGCCCCGGCGCACCTGGCGGACACGCGTCCTGGGGGGCGTGGCTTGAGGAGGGCGTGACGGGGGCGTGGCTGGAGGGGGGCGTGATTGGAGGCGAGTTCCCCGGGGCCTGCCAGGCAGGTTGGGTCCCGCCCCTTTATGATTGTCCCCGCCCCTTCAGGTTGGGCCCCGCCCCGGCAGGTTGGGCCCCGCCCCGCAGACCCCGCCCGCGCTCCCGAGGCCGCGAGGGGCGGGGGCGAACCCGGGACGGGCGCCGCGCGGCCACCCGCTGACGCACGGTCGAAAAGTTGCGCTCAGACCTGCTCCCGCCTCCGGCTTTCTTCCCGGAGCTCCGGTGCCGAGTTGACTCTGGGCTGGGACGACCGGGGCCGAGACCCGTGTGGAGACCGAGAGCGGGAGCGGGAGCGGACGGTGGCGGGCCGGGGACGGAGCCGGCTTCCCCTCCGCCCCCCTCACCCCTTCTCTGAGGTATCCGGCGCGGGTGGCGGCTTGGGGACCCGCGTCCCCCGGGGTCGGGGCTCAAACTTTCTGCACCATCCGGGCACTGTGGTGTGGCGCCGCGGTCGCCTCTGGGGGAGGTGACACCCCGATCTGAGCCCCTGGAGAGGTGTGTTCTATTTTCGGGGGCGTGAGGGAAGGGCAGGAGTGTCCCTTCCCGGCGTCCCCCGCTTGGGCCCGAGGAGCAGGTGTTGGTACCCGGGCGGCGGGCGGGAGGGGGGGGGGTGGCCCGCTGGGAACGTCCCAAGCCAAGTTGGCTGCGGCGCGCCGAGGCGGCTCCCAGGGGTGCGGGACGGGGCGTTACCGGGTGACGGACCCCGCGGGGCCGAGCGCAGCTTCCTTGGACACAAGGCAGTGGAGACGGTGCCCACCCCCCCACCCCCCACCCGGGGCCCCGCGAGCCCGCGTCCCTGCAGAGGACAGACCCCAGCGTGGACCTGGGGCTCGGGTTTCCCTTTCCCCAGAGGCGGCGGCGCCCAGGTTGGCAGCGCGCACTTGCTGTGTAGTCAGGACCGGCTTGTTCCGTGGCTGTTGCACAATTTCATAAACTCGAGAGAGGAGAGAGAGACCGCGTGTTAAGTCCGGGCGCTGGTGGTGGTTACTTGAAGCGACGTGTGTGTTCGCCGCTCCCCAGCACCCCCCCACCCCCAACCTGGTGCCCCCAGACAAAGCTCTCTTGTTAACCCCACTTCTGCCACAGAATGAGCGAGCTGGAGTAGAGGGAGGCAACTGGTGGGTGGCGCAGCCAGTCTTGTTCCTTGGGGCTCTGTGAATCACGAGGGGACATCTGTGAATTTGCCCCGTCTCTGCTTTCGTAGTATTCCTGCCCCGCAGCCCCGACGGGTTGGAGGGAAGTCTGGGGAGTCCCAAACCCAGGCAGCAGGAGTAAACAACCAACTGTTGCTTCTTCTCTGTATCCTGTGCTCAGCCCCCTTGGCTGCTCGCGAAGGGCCCCCGGTATCAAATTCATCTCGTTAGGGAAGTCAGCTGCTCTCTGCTAATAGCCCAGAAGTCCCAATGAAATTATGTAGGTCGCTGAAAAAAATAATTCCCTCTTAATCACCTTTATCCTGGTGATGAAGGAGGAAAAAGATTTCTTTGCAATGCACCAGGCCAGTTTAGCAGGGTTACCTCGCTGACCTCAGTTTCCCTTGCACACCTGGCAGTGGTCGGGGGTGTTGTTCTTGAAGGGGCCCAGACCTGACCTACCAGCGGCTGAAGTTCGCGTTAGGAGGACTTTGGTGGCCTTTGCTGGACAGAGTTTTAAACACGAGATCCAGTCTATATATTTCCTCTTTAATGTAGCATAGTTATAGTTGTCGCCTGTAGTTAGCTTCTGAGGAAATTAAAGGCTGATTTCTGTTAGTGCCACTCAGTTCCTTTATGGGGCTAAATGGAATTGTGTCCATGTTTATCTTGAAATTACATCTGGGGGCCCATTTGCCATTTGTTCTGTAGCTTTGGGTTGCATGGAAAGGGCAAAAGAAAGCCAGGGTCACTGAAGGAGATGCAGAGAGTGATCTAACAATTTAGGTCCAGCGGCTAACAATGGAAGGTATCGACTTTTGAAGACCGGAAGTGAAAAGGACGTATATCCAGAGTCAGAGTAATGCATTGCTGGACAGTTCTGCGCGAGACACCCAGTCTCGTTCTAAACACATTTCTCTACAAAATTATTTTTTCTTAATGGGAAGTTAACAGAGAATGCCTGTCACACATTAAAAAGCAAGTTATGTAGAAATATGGTAGTAAATATTAGAAGAAACACACAAGAATTGCTTGAGGAGTGGATTTTGAAATTAGATTCATATATCACTTTAAGAAGTTTGGTAAGGAAGTGTTATCTCCCTGAAAATATAACACAGAATTGCTTTCTCCAGTACCTGTTTGCATCCTTCTTTATCTGGGTATATTTGTCTCATAGAGCAAGACATTGGCCCTTTGAAGAGCTGGACTCTCAATGACTCCCAGCTCTTAGTTTATAGTCCAGGTAGGGGAGCAGTGCCCAGGAGGGACCTTTAACTTCAGAGACATCATTTAGAGACCTCTTAGTATAAGACAGTGTTAGAAACTTAGTGTCTTTTTGCTTCACAAAGTACTTTCACATGTACAGTACTTATTCTCTGTGATTTAACCATCTTGTGATCAGTGCCACTATATTCAGTTTATACAAGAGGAAAATGGTGAGGTTCAGGGAAAAAAAAATCTCCTAGGTACATCAGACCTGAAGTCATGATTTCTGATTCAGAGGCTTTAAAGTTTTCCTTCTCTTATTTTTGTTTTTGGGTTATACCTGGCAGTGCTCAGAGTCTATTCCAGGCTCCCTGCTTTTTTTCCCCATTACATTTTGTGAAGTTTTTGGATATGAAAAGTGCTCTTTATTTCTTATTAATCAGTATGTGAGATAAGTGGGAAGAGGATTTATGTAAAAACCACATGGGTATATTGTGCTTGTGTCTCTTTGTATGTAATCTTTACAGACTTTGCAGCTCAACAGTAGTTGTGCCTAGGTAGATGGGATGAATAAATGACCTAACAGATCAGTAAAGAAGGTCTGAAGTGAATTTAGGAAATAACTATAAAATATGTTAATTAACAAATACGGAAATGCCAGGACAAATATCTAGAAAAGCTGATAGAGCTTCCTCTGGGGAATGGGGTGAGAAGGAGTCAGAAAGGCATCTACTCTTTTTTTTTTTTTTTGGCTAAATACTTTTGACTTTATATTTTAAAAATAACTTGAAATATTTATGTGGTGCAGGGTATTGAACTAGGGGCCTCATATATCTCATATATGCAAGGCAAGTGCTTTACCGTGGAGCTATATCTTTGACCCTAGACTTTGTTATTTTTTATATAAGCAAAAATAGTCCTTTGGCAAGGATAAAGATCTGTTTTCAGAATGCTAGTGCATTTTAAAAATATTGGAATGTAGGCAAAATTTTTATTTCATTTTTGGTTTCAAGGGGGTCCACAAGGGGCAATGCTCAGGGTTAGTCCTGGCTCTGTACTCAGGAGTCACTCCTGGTGGGCTTGGGGACCATGTGGGATGCTAGGGATGGAATCCAGGTTGGTCATGTGCAAAGTAAGTACCCTACCCTCTGTACTATCTCTCAGACCCCTGGAACCTAAACTTCTATCTTGAGAAGGTATTACTAATGAGAAACGCTAAGGGAGCCTTTAGTTGATTATTTTGAAAGTTCCAAATTAAAAGTACAACTGCCTTCCAGAAGAGCTAGAGACACATGATAGAGCTATTACAGTTTAACACTGAACTTTTCCCTATATAATAGTTTCTTCTGCCTCCTCTTAGTTATCTTACTAACTTACAAAACATTATTTTTCCTGATTATACACATAAATATTAGCCAAAATTCAGACATTACAGAATGTAATGTGGAAAGTTAAAGATTGTACTGTAATCTTGCAAACTTTCATAAAAAAGTAGATATTTTTTCCTTAAAATTTCTATGCTTAGCAATATTCTTCTGGAACCAAGGAGATAGAACAGAGGTTGAGGCATTTGATCCCAGCACCAAATCTGGTCTCCTGAGCTCAGAGTCAGGAGTAAACCCCGGGCACCTGGGGTAATACTTAACATATTTAAACTTATTTATTTGTTTTGTTTTTACGCCACACTCAGTGGTGCTTAGGGTTTACACCCGGCTCTGTGGTCAGAAATCATTCCTGGCCATACTTGGGGGGGTCATGTGGGGTGCTGGGGATCAAACCCAGGTTGACCCCAGGCAAGGCAAATTTAGACAAATAAATTAAAACTTTTAAATTACCCTTCTTTCTGTACTGTCTCTCTAGCCCTGAATTTAAACTTATTTTTTAAACTTATTTTTAAACGTTTAGATTATTCTGAAAATGTCTTACAACTATACAGGCAACAAACTGGTAGTTTGATATCATGATGTATCACAAGTTATTTAGACACTATCGTAGTGTTTGAAATTTGTTTTCTTCTGTGTTTCCCATGTTCACAACAGCGTTTTAGAGAACATTTGTTAAAGTGAATTTTTGTGCACTTGTACAAATGTTTTATGTAGGAATGAGTTGGAGGGGGCACTCCTGGTGTTCTGGAAGTTTGGGACGCTTGGAGATTGAACCTGATGCTCCAGCTGTTGAACCATGTCCCCGGCCCATCTGTAGGAAAGATTTGTGAAAGAGTCAGAGACATGAAACTGTTTCATTTCTTTAACTTACACTTTTTCTAATAGCATCCCCACATTTTATTTTTGTTAATGCCCTTCCTTCTTGAATGTATCAGACGCAAGCTGGAGATGTCTAATACGTGATCAGAAACTGAAACAAGAGGCCAGAGCCACAAAGGCTTGGAGCATGAAGGAAGAGTTCACCTCAGTTTCCTCACATTTCAGCTGCTTTTGGTTTCAGTGTTTCCCCCAGGAGAAGATAGTAATTGATAACAGCTATAAAAATATTCTGCAGTTCTTGGACAAGCTGCTAATTAATTTTTATAGAGCAAAGCTTAAATTTTTTTTCCCTAAATGCATTATTCTAGGACATGCCATTAAGGAGTTCAGAGAACACTAGCTTTTGCACAGTGGAGAAGGGAGTTTTTTTTAGCTCTATTAACTGATTTTGAAAGTTTACCTTGGTTAATATATTGGTAGGGGTCAATTTTTAAGATCTTTGGACTTGTAGAAAGTACCAGAAACTGATTTTGATCTTTGGTGTGGAAAAAAAATGAAATAAGATTCTTTGGATGGATTTTAGGACGCTGGTTCATTGAAGCAGGAACATTTTGGGAATTCCTGTGGCAGAGTTTTTATTGACCATCTTAGAGAGTTGATTAATGTTTTCATTGAGTTCAAGGTTTGTTCATAACCATTTAATTAGAGAGTTATGTTTCATTCCTGAAAGTGGGTGTCTTTTTTTGGGTGTGTGTTCATGGTATTTGTACTTGGCATTCATTCGTTTTAGGTGATTTTCCTTGTAAAATATCA